TCTATTCTCTGCCTCCCGAGTCCCAGCTGATCGGGAGGGAATGGGGATTTTGCAATAACCTTTCCCTGGAGTGGGGAATGGAGATTTTACAGTATCCTCCCCCTGCCACGCCCACCAAACCATGCCCATAGAACCAGTAGTAAAACATATGCACCTTCAAGACTTCTTTAGAAACCTGAATTAGTGGTGGGATTCAAAATGTTTTACTACTATTTATTACATAACTGGGGTTTAATAAATAGTTAGCAGCCAACAAATTACTCCCCCACCCCAAAAAAAGCTCGTAATGAACTGAAAGAAACTTGCATAGCCATGAATATTTCTATGTGTTGCTTGTAGCTAATGGAAATCTGGTTCATCAATCAAAAGACCTACTGTATGATTTGCAAGGAGGAAAACAGTAGAGCCTACAATAAGCATGGTTGCCCAGGTGAATGTCTGGATGCAGCTTTTGTATTATTCACTGCTTCATTTGTTTCTTTCAGGATCTCAACTAACCCATTTGGGAGTGCTCAAAATAGGGTCAATTTACTGCTTGACAGCTTGGTCATCGGTTCCAAAATGATCAGGGGCCAGCTGAGCATGTATAAGGCTTGCTGAATCACAACTAAATCTAGATCTTCCCTGCTCATAGAAGGAAATGTCTTTATGGAACATCCCTTGATTTCAGTGCACTGAAACTACTCAGGACATTTCTCACCTAGCCTAACTTTGTGGAGATCTTGTGGCATCTCCCCTGCTTGTCTGGCTGGGTATAATTCACTCCTCCCTTCTTCCATCATTCTGCCATCTGTTATATGGTTTTTCTGTTGTTATCTGATCAGGGAGTTGTTTTACAAAAAGTGGTTCCTGCTGACATAAGTGATGTGTATCTAAGCGTTAGTTTGGGAAAGAGGTGGGTAGCTGGGATAAGTCAACCAACCAGCCGCAGAGTCACAGGTTCATTCTTACCTTGCCCAGCTGGTGGACTTTCTAGTTAAGCAATGCCTTTCACCAGAAGAACAAAACAAAACAAATAAGTAAAAGGAACCACCTTGCCTAAACGATCACACAGCTTACCTGACAGGTGACTTTTGCATTAATAGGCAGAGAATTTGATCCTGGGTTCCACTAAGTTTCAACCTCAAACAGCGGGGTGAGATGTCGCCGCTACTATTATCCTTTATAATCAGACCTTCCAGAAACGCAGGGGATATGACATGACACTGTAATGCTTGATTTAGACTTTCTAGAATTTGGTGTTGGTTCCNTTAGTGGAGGAAATATCAAGGCAATTAACACTTGGGCAATTTCGGTCATTAGAAATATAGTGGAATAATGAAATGGGTTCAAGCAGAATTAGAAGCCCTGGATAGGAAAACTAGAAAAATAATGACAATGAATCATGTCCTTCATTGACATAGCAACATTGATAGACTTTTTTTTTAACCAAGGAGCATAGGTGGGCATGGAATGTAGCAACTATACCAGTTGAAAAAGGAAAAAGGTCATTGGAAGAATATCTGAAGGACAGTGAGATAGATGCACTGAATACTGAAGAGATCACACTGACTTACAAGAAAGACCAAATGAAGAACAGAAAGGAGACATGGCAAGGCAAAGTATTACATGACCAGTATACAAAAACAAACTTAACAGGCAAAACCGTTAACAAGATGTGACAAGAGACAATAAAGCTAATTCTGGCTGCACAAGATCAAGTCTTAAAAACAAATGCATAAGAAGCCAGAGTTGAGAAGACAGCAACAGAAAGCAAACCCCACCTTGGCAAAGAAGCCAAAGAAACAATAATAGACCACTATTCAGCTGCTGCAAGAAGATCACACAGACTGACTACAAACAACAGCATGACAAAGTAGCAACAATGCTGCATTGGAATATCTGCAAGAAATAAGCATGAAATAATGGGACCAAAAAAATAGACAAAATAATAGAAAATGAAGAAGTTAAAGTGCTCTGGGACTTTAGTATTTGAGCAGATAGCTACCTGTCACATAATACCCAAGACTTAACAATTGTCAATAAGACGAGCAAGTGGGCATTGCAGTACCTGGAGAAAGCAGAATAGAAAGGAAAGAACTGGAGAAGTTCAATGACAGGGCTGAGGATGCAAAATGTTATTTTCTATTTTATTCTGGATTTTTATAGAAAGAGCCTTCGTGGTTTGAAAAGTGTTAAGACTACTTGAAGCTTACACCATAGTTTTCCTTAATTCCCAGCTAAAAATAGCACCACCCCCCCAAATCTCAACTTAGCAGAGGTTGGAAGGGCTTTGGGGAACTGAGAAACCCACGCTGCTCCTCAGTGCAATGAAAAATGTTTAATACTTAATGTGGTGCACAATGTTTTATTTGGGTAGGAAAGTGCAGTGAGGTCATAATGTGTGGTTTTGCTTCCAAGTTCACATCTGATAGAATGAATCATTTGGAATGTGACTAGATGGGTACACCATATAAAAATCTGCTATAAAAATGTCTATTAAAGATGAACTCCCTGCCTCAAAATCGTTTCCTGTTCGAACAGATGCAGCAATGGATTGGTGTAATGGCTATAATTATCGTGATTATAGGCAATAATTTACGTATTCTTTTGCAATATACTGAAGAGTGGGATGCATTTCAGATGCTTTTCACAAAGATCTCCATATTACAAACAAGAGCTATTAGGGTAAGAGTTTTTGCATGTTTAAGCTCTGGACAAATTGATTTTTTATATGATGAAAATCACATTGTTAGCAAGCGATAAACACCAGATGGCATTTCTAGAGCGATAGATAAATCGAAAACTAAAGATTAATTGCTGTTTACTTCTATTTTAAAATACTTGTCAAAAAGACAACTGCCTCTCTGCTACATGCCTTTCATTCCTTCATATGTAATACATAACATATATCAGTAAACGAGAGTTACACAAGGGGTTTTCAGGGCAAACCTATGGTTTGTTAGCACTATATCATGCACAAATGTTGGAAAGCCTACTCTCAGGGCATTAGTGCAGTCCTAAGAACTCTTTTAATAGCTCACAGGTTTTCTTGTGGATGACCTCATGAAGTTTTCGAACGCGTCGGACACTTGAGGCCCCAACAAAACTATCCGGCTGTAAAACAGCCATTCCATTGTAGACCTCCCCCATGATGATGAGCTGGCCTTCCGTTGCTGTAATGTTGGGGCACGGACAGCTCCAGTTCATGTTTAACAAGGTGATTTCCAAAGGCTCCCTTCCCAGGAACTGGAGCCCCATTTTCTCATCCTTCAGAATCTCCTCCACCATCACCAGGGCATGGCCAGAATCCTGGTCCTCTGTCAGCTCCATGACACGGCCGAGGATCACAAAATCGCTTTTGCAGAAGCTGGTCACCAGCTTTTGCCGGGGTTTGCAAGCCTTGCAAACTTTACAGAGCCTGTCCAGAGGGAAAGGACACGATTCCTCACAGGCCTCTCGGCTTTCAAAATTATTCTCGTTGCCTCCGCAACCTCCGTAAATGAAAGACTGGCATTGTTTCGTCAAGCCGTTGTAGGCCCACCGGGGCGCGTAGGCTTTACAGTGGCCTTGCAGGGCCGGCAAGTTGCAGATGTTGACGGGGCCATTCATGCATGTCAACATACAGCTCTCGTAGGTCTCAAAATGATTGAGATTGCTATTGCAGTTCCCGTAAATGAAAGTAAAGCAGTTGTTTTTCTTTGCATCATAATACCATCTGGTTTGCTCTTCTCCGCAGTCTTCACTGTCGGGTTGCTTCAGGCACTCGTTGGTTGGAAAGTGAGTTTTATTCTGCACCGATTCGGGAGAAGTAGCTTCTCCTTGGAGGACCGACAATGGAAAATCAACCCTTAAAGCACCGCCAAGGTTTTTGGCTGTGCAGGTGTAAATCCCTGCATCTTGTAGTTGCGTGTTATAGATTACCAGCTGGGCAATATTGGTGACAACGATATTTCCTTGGACGTGGTTAGGCCTCATAATTACTTTCTCCTTATTCTCAGTCTCCTTCTCCCATGTGATTTCTGGTTTAGGCCGACCGGTGACATCACAAAGAAAGCTTACCGTCTCTCCAACGTAGGCCGACTGATGGGTTGGGTTGTTGACTAAAACAGGGGCGAGGATGTCTGTGATGGTAGTCTCCAAGTAAGCGGTGGTGGGTGGAGCTGTAGTCTCTGCTGGAACAGGGCTGGTGTTTGGCCAGGTGAGATGATAGCGACAAGTCACCACATTGAGGGTGATGCCTTTGGTACAGGCTTCTGCATCCATGTAGCACTTGTTGTAATAGGTGAGCCCATCAGACGCACAGGTAAAACTTGGCTCCTTTTCACACCTGTCTTTGCATTTGCAGACAGGCTGCCCATCCCAGATATCACATTCTGAACCTTGCTGGATGCACATGAATCGGTCACACGTGGCTTCTTTGGGCATCCCGACAGGTCCTTTCTTCCCTCTCACGTCCATGTACCGGGCTGCAACACAACTCCGTGTTCCACAAACGTTAGGGCAACATTTCTCGAACGTCTCACACTCCTAAGGTAAAAGGAAACAGATGCGATAAAGTGCTTGTGTGAGTAAATAAGGATCCTCATCAAGTCAGTAACTCTGTTAATGTCAGAGATCTCACTTTTGTGAAAGATCAACATCACCCAACTTTTGCCAGTATGGCCATCACATTTTAAAGGGCAACTTTTATTTCAAAATATCAGATGGCCAAGAATGGCAATATATGTGCTTTAGAATGGTTTGTTAAAATTCCCCAAGGGATGTCTGGAACAGATAGCCCAGGCTTTTTATTCTTTGGAGTTAGACCATCACAAATCAAAGTGCATATATTCAGTGGCCCAGGAAGCTCTATTCCAGGTGTCTCTCAACCTTGCAATTTTAAGAAGTCTGTATCTCAACGCCCAGATTTCCCCATACTGGTTGAGGTATTCTGGGAGTTAAAGTCCAGGCGCTTAAAGTTGTTAAAGTTGGGAAACACTGTTCTAGCTTATGGACAGAAGCAGAAGTAGGTTTCAGCCAGTTCGAGCCAGATTGGGCGAACCGGTAGTGGCGGCAGTGGGAGGATCTGCCCACCCACCTGGACGCTTTTGCGCATGCACACAAGCGTCGTGCGCACGGGTGCAAACTGGTAGTAAGATAGATTGAAACCCACCACTGGCAGAAGGCAGTACAGGAACTTCTATGTGTGAAGAGGTAGAAGGCAGGAATGGTTATGTCTCTTTCTTCTTTACAGACATCTCCATCAACCCTAGAGCTAGCAGGAAGCAATGCCACCATGACATTGGCTGTCCCCATGGCTCATCTCTATCCTACCCTCTATTGTCTCCATTCCCAGACACCACAACAATCACTTGACTTCCCTCCGTGGGTGTCAAAGACAGATTTACACCCCATGAGGCCTCCTTAGATGGCATCAGATTAAGATGACAAATGCACATTTATTGTTGCTGTAGCCAAGGGCAGCTCAAGCCTATCCTCCTGCTAGATTGCAGAAGAGATAAAGGCAGCCTTATGGGGGGATGTATCAGAGAAAGACAGTCAGGGCAACATGGCTGGTGTGGATGGAGAAAGCTCCTATGTGCAATTTACATTGATGTTTTGCCCCTAATGGGTGCAAAAAGAACTACAACAATCTTAATAATTTCTTTGCCTGAATCTCACTGATCATTAGAGCTAGATGACATGCAATTACACCGAAATGGCAAATGGAACTAATTGATGACCATTTTGTCTGTTTTTTAGTCACACACAAAACTTCTTGTAATACTGATTTGATTTTTAAGAGATGGCTGGTGGCTGCATTCTAGAACAGGCAGGGAAACACTTGAATACTTACTTGGGAGATAAAGGGAGATTATCACGAGCATAAATATTGTTCTGTGTTTATGATAAATTGGTTGAGTCACTTCACCAAAATTTATATATGCACCCATACACACTTACTAAAGAATAAATGCCATTGAAATTGGTGGGACTTGTTTCTGAGCAATAGAAATAGAACCGTGTTACACGTTTTCCTTGGCTGTAGAGCGAAGAAGCTGAGCGAAGAAACTGAGAAAAACAATTCATAGGAAGCCCAAAAAGCACTTTCTGTTCTCTTTCAAAGAAAAAAAAAAGGACAACAAAAGACTAAAATACTGGCAAAGGCATCAGGTAAAAACCACAGTTATGCTACATGTATAATGACATAATCACACAAATGATGTGGTTTGCCACAAATGACCTCATGTGCGTTATTTGTGCAGCGACATCATGACTCATCCAATGTTTATTGCCCCTTTCTCCCAAACCTGTCACCTTGTGGGTGCCATGAATATTAGTACTCCTTATAAGGCAGATGATTTGTTTCAGTCAGCAGTGCAATATGATCATCTTCATTGTACAAGTAAATGCATTCCTTACAATATGCCATATTTAAAACATTGTATCTCGAAAACTTAGTTGATAACGTAAGGATCCCTCTTATCTTCCAGGGAGTTTTGATGGTTGAGACATCAATTAATATTTGAAGGATTACTTGATAGCTGACACCACGTTTCCTTTTGTTAAATGTGATACAGATTTGTAATTATTTTCAAGTATATAATAACTCTTCCATGTAAGACCACAACATTCCAAATGGCATCCACAACATTCCAATGACACCTTGACCTGCAACAGTCCATTAAGTGCAGGGGTCCTCAAACTACACCCCATGGGCCGGATACGGCCCACTGAAGCCATTAATCCAGCCCGCATGGGACCATGAGGCTGCCCTGCCCACATCACCCCACCTATCTGCCTTTTGGAGGCCGAGGAGGCCAAAAATGGGATGCGCAGAGGCCTTGGGAGGCCAAAAATGGGCCCGTTTTTAGCCTCCCTCACCTCCAGAGGGGGGGTGGAGAGGAAGAGAGAGAGAGAAAGACACATACACACATACACAAAGAAGTCCCTCACCACCATCGCCCAAGGCAACCAAATCCTTTCACTAACCTACTTTCCACCCCCAGGAGCATTACAAATTAAAGTTTAATTTGGGTGTATTGTTTAATGGACTGCTAAATTGGCCACGCCTACCCAATCACATGATTACCTAGCCATGCCCACCCAGTTGGTCTGCCCCCCCCCCCAGCAGTCTGAGGGACCGTGAATTGGCCCCGTTTAAAAAGTTTGAGGACCCCTGATTTAGTGACTGTTCAACGTTACAACAGCACTGAAATAAGTGACTTATGACCGTTTATTCAGTGTTATGACCTTTGCAGCTTCCCAATGATCATGTGATCAAAATTCATACGCTTGGCAACTGACTCGTATTTATGACTGCTGCTGTGTCTCCAGGTCCTGCCTATAAAATCTGGATCATTTTATCTATTGCTTTGGCAACAAGCTCCCACATGTTCTTTGTTATTATTGAAATGCGTTTTAATTCTTTTTTTTAGAAACCTTAGCAAAAATTAATCTTATCCATTGGTGGTTGTCCTACAAAAACTAATCTTTTGTGACCTTCTGACAGGTAAAGTCAATAGGGAAACCAGATTCACTTAGGAAACAGGTTATTAATTTATCAAGTGCAGTGATTCACTTTACAATGGTGACCAGAAAGGTCGAAAATGGAGCAAAAACTCACTCAACAAATGTCTCACTTAATAACAGAAATTTTGGGCTCAATTGTGGTCATAAGTTGAGGACTACCTGCACTGACATCTTCCCTTCAGAAGCGTGCCCTCTTCCTTCTACAATGCAGAACCCCCTAGTAGCCATCATCAAGATGGAGACCCTTCCCTAGTGCCTGGACTAGTTTCTCCTGCTGTGTAATTCTGATTCAAAACATGGCAGAATTTAGCTCTTCTGAACAATCAGGTTCCTCAATCCTGTAGACCAGTGTTTCTCAACCTTGGCAACTTTAAGTCCTGTGGACTTCAACTCTCAGAATCCCCCAGCCAACCTTAGCGACTTTAAGTCCTGTGGACTTCAACTCCTAGAATCCCCCAGCCAACCTTGGCGACTTTAAGTCCAGCTGGCTAGGGGATTCTGGGAGTTGAAGTCCACAGGATTTAAAGTCGCCAAGGTTGAGAAACACTGCTGTAGATGTTTCCTTTGAAAAAGTTGAAATAAGTGAATCTTTTATTGGGTTCATTTTTATAGGAACTGACGAAAATTTGCAAATTTATTAAATGTGGGAGGGCAAGACTTTTAGGTTCTAAATCTTCCAATCGTAGAAAAAAACAGAACAGACATATAGCCATCCCTACACGGAGTCTTACAATGGGGTTAGTTCTATGAAAGAATGCATACTGTGGAATTGCAAAATGAGTGTTTATTTCAAAAACCAGCAGGCAAAGGCAGGGGGAAAAAAGGTCAGAGAAAAAACACCTTTGTATTGACTGAGAAGATCCGAACAATTTTGGATAGCTGGAAAACTGATTCAGGAATGAACGTTCAGACCGTTGTTCGTACGTTTCTGCTGTCCAGAAGGAACCAGTTTGGCTTGGGGTGGTGGTGATGGGGAGATAGGAATCAGATGGTGGTGATGTTCAAAAGAGGTTTTGAATCACTGTGTATTGCACCAACTATGATTCGCCTTGGCGAAGGCAAGTCACACCATGTGCTGCTTCCATCTTTACAGCTTCTTCAACATGCTCAATGTCTTTGAAGCATATCCAGACCAAAAATAATAATAATAATAATAATCCAGTTTGAATAGTCTAGTTAGTAGAATACAAACGTGCATAAAACCATTTAATTCTGAAATTTGTCTTTTTATAGACGCAATTCATGGTACTCTTTAAACCATAAATAATTTGGGACCTTGCTGTTTGATGGAATATTAACTTCCTTATTATAGGTAGTCCTTGAGTTACAACAGTTCATTTAATCAGTAAAAGGGGGGGATAGTTCAGGGGTGAAATCCTCCCGGTTTGGCCCGGTTCTGTCAAACCGGTAGGGATGATTGTCCCTGGTTCTGTGAACCGGTAGTAAAAAAAAGCTTCCAAGGATCGTGCTGCTCAGCTGTGAGCCACGCGATCATGGGAAGTCCTCCCCTCCCACTTTTTAAAGCATTTTTTTCCTGCTGGTTCGGGCAAATAGCAGGAAAATAATGCTTTAAAAAGAGAAAAAAAGTTGGCCATGCCTACCCAGTCACATGACCCCCATCAAGCCACACCCACAAAACCGGTGGGCAAAAAAAAAAAAAAGATTTCACCACTGGTATAGTTGCTCCATAGTTTAGGTCTACAAAGAAGACCTGTGTGATTATCTGCTGACCTTCAGATGGCCGTCGAACATGGAATAGAATCTTCTTCTAACAACTTGCAAGGGTGGACAAAATACAGGTAGCTCTTGACTTTCTATCACAATTGAGCCCAAAATTTATGTCACTAAGCAAGACAGTCAAGTGAATTTTGCCCTGTTTTGTGACATTACTTGCCACAATTGTTAAGTGAATCAGTGCAGTTGTTAAGTTAGTCATACAGTTCTTCAGAGAATCTGGCTCC